TTTCATGTAAACTCTTAACTATATTTTACAAAAATAAAGATAGAGGCAAGACCTCACCTCAACCTACGAGTTGAAAAATTTAAAAAAAAAAAATAAATATAAAATATAAAATATTAACTAAATCATAATATAATCAAAAAAAATATTAATTTAATATCTTTTCTATTTTTAAAATAAAAAAAAATTATATTTCATTGCTAATTTATATAGTAATGAATCTGAAATAAATAACTCTATTTTCAAAAAAAAAAAGAATTTCACTTAATAAAAATTTATTTTATAATATATTCATTAAAGATTTTTCATTATTGATTTTTTGTTATTTGATAAATATTTATTTAATCTTTATTAAAAAAAATATCTTTTCAATCATATTTATTTGGAATATTTAAAAATATCAAATAATTTTTGAATAATAATTCTTTTAAATAATATTTACAAAAATAACAAAGTTATAAAAGAAGTTAATGTTATATCATAATTGTGACAAATCAATCGAATGGAATTAAAAAATATTATTAAATTTTAAATATAATATGAAATAAAAAAAAATATTTATAAAGAAAAATATGAATTATCTTGACTAATATTTTGTAAATTAAATAAAAAACTATTTAAACCTAAATTATTATTATAATCTAAATATGAATATTGATTAAAACTATTATTTAAACCTAAGATATAATCTGGATTTAAAAAACTATCATTTAAAATATTATCTTGATTTAAAATTAAATTGTTACACATATTTGAATATTGATTAATACCCAAATTTAGATATTGATCAAAATTATTAATTGGGTTTAGAATATCATTAATTATAAAATTCTCTATAAATAACTATTCTTCGGAATTATCATCATTATTATTATCTTCTAAATCTTTTTCCTTATCATCATTCATTTCTATATCATTTTCTTCAATGATTTCAGTTTCTTTAATAATTTCAGATTTAATTATTTTTTCTTCCTCTACCTTATAATCTTCTATCTCATTTTCCTCATAATCTTCATCAATATCGTTATTTAATTCTTTAATACTTTCTTCTATCTCTTGAATTTTCCTTTGATCAAATGCATCCTTTTCCTTTTCAAATTCTTTTCTATCTCTTTCAAGTTTAAATACTTCTATCTCATATTGAATTTTTTTATCCAATAAATCTTTATTTTCTTCATTTAATCGATTATTTTTAATTTGTAATTCTTCAATTTTTTTATTTGATTCATTGATATATTTTTGCATTTTTTCTTTATCTTTTCTTAATCTTTTGATATCTTCGATAAATTGTATTAATGTTTCTTTCATTGAATCTATCTGAATTTGTTGTTTATTCTTAAAGTTTCTTTGATTATTAAGATTTCTTTGTTTTTTTGTATCATCACTATTATATTCTTCAAGTTTCTTTCTCTTCTTTCCTCTTTTTTCTTTTTTCTTTTCCTCTCCAATAAGTTCATATAAAAGTAAATCTGAACCCATTTTAATATTGTTTTTATTTTAATTTTTTTGATAATCGAATTTTATTTTTAATTTAATTTCTTTGATGATGGATAAAACACTACTCTTTTAAATGTTTTGACTGATATAAAGACAAATACAAAAATATGTTTAATATAGATATATACAAAAAAACCTTAAATAAAGAATTTCCAAATAAGAATATTTCTAAAAGAATCTTTGGCTTCAATAATCGTATCACCATCTGACTACCACAAACTTTGTGTTGATATAAGAAAAAACTCTTTAACTTTGATAAAAACTTTTTTGATCTTGTTACACAACCTAAATCTGGAACGTTAAGATCAATAATCATTAAATATATCTGGATAATCTCCTTATCTTTTAAATATAAAATTCTCTCAATAGAAAACTCAATTCTTTCAATGATATATAAAATATTACTTTTACAGATAGAAATAAATTTCGGAGTTTGATAATATGCAATAATCAGATTATTATATACACTATTCATCAATGATTTTATATATTAAATTTCTAATGCTGTGTACATCTTGATAACTTGAATAAAACAAAGAAAAATAGATATTTTTATAAAGATTACATTAATAATAAATTCTTTATTTTCTCACGAATTCTTTAAATGTTTTGTGATTTTAGTAATCAAAACAAGGATAAATAAATAATAAGATAAATAAATAAATTCTAGATTCCAAAATTCTTTTTAAAATTAATAATAATAAATAAATTTACATAAAAAAATTATGAATGTATCTTCATGTTTCTCCGATATACAAATTAAGAAATACAGATTATCAAAAATAAAAAAAGGAAATATCTTGATTTAGAATCTCATTTACAAATAAGATGTTTAATTTGGTAATTTGAATAAAATAAACAAAGCCACAACACTTTTTTTTTTCGATTAAAAATTCTGAAATTCTTTTTGTATTATAACCAATATAAAAATATTATTGATTCTACTTTGCTAATTATTTGATAATCAATCAGATTAATAACTAAAAAATATCTTGTTTTGATAATCTCATGACATAAACAAAAATATTTGAAATTTTACAGATAAACCTTTTTTGAATACAAAATTCTAGATTCTTTTGTAATACTATTTTAATTATCAATTATGTAAAACCTTTAAAATTTTTTACGAATATTATTTTATTCAATTTTGATTGAAATTTCTTAGATATTTTTTATAAGTCAAAATTTTTTTTTTTTAAATATATCAATATAAAATAAAGATATAAAATTACTAATTTAATGACAATCTAAAAAAAATCAATTGTTTAACTTTGTTCAAATTTCAAAATACAAAACAATTTTTTACAAATTAAAAAAATCAATTTTAAAAATGTCTTTTATTAAAAAAATTACTTCTAAATTTAACAAAAAAAATCAAGAAGTTGTTGAAGAAAATAACTGGAACAATTACCAACAAAATGATACTCCTTGGAATATTGAAAAAGAATATAATGAAAATTCTTGGGATGAAATTGAAGAAGATTCTATTTCTTAGAATTTAGATAAAAATTCTACTTATTCAACCTCTAATCAAGAAATTTCTATCTCTCAATTGAACATTGAAGAAGAAAAACTTTTAAATTCTTCTAATTCTATATTAATTAAAAATGAAAACTCAATTAATTATTTGTTTGAATTAATTTTATTAATTCTAATTCTTATTATCTCACCTTTTTCTATATTTTTGAGCTGGTTATTTGGAATTACTCTATTATATAGAATAAAATTTATATTATTAAAATTACAACTTGCAGATAGAGATTTTATAAAAGAAATAAATCCATTTGAAATAATGTTTAGCTAAACAACTATTAGTGATACTTTTCAAATAGGTAATACTATAGAAAATACTATTGATAATCTTATTAATGGTAAAATAAAAATAGAAGATTTTCCTATGATATATGTTTGTATAATAGATGATATCTTTTATTCATCTGATAATAGAAGACTCTATTGCTTTCAAGAAGCAATACGAAGAGGATTAAATATTAAAAAAATACCTGTTAAAATCAGATTAATATGTGATTCAAATATAAATTGGAAAATGAAAGGATCTTATAAAATTATTAGAAATAATAATTTTAAAAATATTGTAGTCACTCCATATACTCGAAATAGTCGAGTTGTAGATAAAGAAGGGTATTAGAATTATCAAGAATTTTAGTTTTTTTTTAATTATTAATTTTACATTTATATTATATTCTTATCTATATATATATTATCAATTTATAAATAAAGCTTATCAAACACGTATTGTTTATCATTACTTATCATTATGCATATTTTTAAAATTTTTAGTAATGATCATCTTAAAAATTATCTATCATTTATCATATGTATATAAAAAGTCTATCATATACATATTGCATATCAAATACATACAGTTTATCAATGATATATTTTTACATCTTTAAATTAAATATTTATTTATCTTATATGTAATTAATAATTACAAAATATATAATAAATATATAAATAAACTTTAAATTAATTATTTGAATTTTCGACTATCAATTCACATGATTTACTATTTCCTTTAAGATTTTTGTTTATTTCTATTTCAAAATGATGTTCTTGATCATACTTCTTTTTCAAAAAAAGAATTTTCTTGGTCATTTTATTAACATCAGTTTCTAAAATGATATTTGTGCCAATAGCTTCATTTTTTTGCATTTTTATTAAAACTAGTTGGTGATAGAAAAAAACTCTTATGTTCATTATAATATTTATCAATTAAACTATATAATCTTTTAATATCATTAAACCCAATTTCCTTATCTATTCTAAATTTAGACCTAACAATAATCTTAAAATCATCTAACTTTGCAATAGTATCTTTATTACGATCAGTATAATTCCTTTTAAGTTTATCATTTGGAAGTTTTGTAAAACCTTCTTCAATTAATCTATTCGCAAAATTTTCTGTATATTCTTTGCATAATTGACAATATGATTTAAGCTAAATAAAATATATGATAAGTATCATGTAATCATCATGTTTATAGTCAAGACTTCACATAGTATATCATCTTAATACCAAATGAATAATTTTACAAAGGCGATTACTTGTCGGAATCCTGGTCACAAGTCTCATTCCTTCAGCGTAACTTGTAATTATTCATATACTAAACATATAATACTTAGTAAATATAATTACCTCTTTATTAATTTCTATAATGTTTTTCTCTATAATTTCATTATTAGAATTTTTTTCCTCATTAATTTGTTTTTCCTATATAAAAAAATATATTCATAAATACATTATATCATTATAGAGCTCTTGATTAGTACATAACTTAATGTCATTGCCTTATAATCAAATACATGAATTTACACTGAGTGACTATATTGAAGAATGTGCATACAACATCTCGCTCTACCAGTAGCATTACTTATATTCTGTATATACTAGATATACAATATTTAGTGAATACTCACATATTCATTCTTTTCATAATTATATATAATCAATGAATTTTTTTCAATTGTATCTGACATACTTATTTTTTTTTAAAAAAATAAAAACATTAATATTTATAAATAAAATTAATTATTAATTTCTTTGGTTTATTAATAACTTGCTAATTTCAATAAATAATATTTCAAATATAAAATAATTTCTTTCCAAATATGATAACTGATATTATCAGCTTCGAAGTATAATACATGTTCAATAAATATAAAAATAAATCTATAATGAACAGGAAGATAATATTTTAATCTTGGATAAAGAAAAAGTAAAAATCTTAAATTCTTATCCATATTTCCTTCTATACATTTATCAATCACATCATTTAATTTTGGATTATAATCACATAAATCTTTCATTTCATCTATATCTTTAATAGACATATCTATGAGTTTTATGACACCTTTAAAGGAAAAAACTTTGATATTATTTCTTTCATATTTAAAATAATATTCGTAATGATCATGAATCTTGTAAAAAAATATCTTAATATCATACATTTTTTTATAATATTTGTTCAAAAAAATATAAATAAATATCATTATTATCAATATATTTTTATTTCATATTTTTCTACTGATTCGAAAACAACATATGGAACTTCTTCCTCCCAACTATATGAATCTCTTCTTTCATATATATCATTTTTATATGCATTCAGCAAATTCCAAATACTTCCACAATATTTATCTCTGTAAACATCTACTAAATTCTAAATATCTAAACCAAGACTTAAAAAATTAAAAAAACTTTCATTTCTAATAGAACCTTTTTTCTTACAATCTTTATAAACATATTCAAAAGAAAAAATCTCTTCATCCAATCCAAATTTTTTATAAAAACTTATTACAAATTTTTTTCTGAAATAATAATAAAAATATCGACATGTGTATAATATCTCTTCAATAATTTTTACAGGTTTCTTTACATAAAGAATGTCTAATTCAAATATCTCATAAATTTTAGTATTAATAATTTCGTTATAAAAATCAAGTGATAATTTTGATTCAATCATATTTTACTTTATAAAAAAAAAAATAAATCGTAGTATTTATAAATCATTAAATTATTAATTAAACTTAATTTAATCAAATTAATGATTATTTCACTAATATCTTATTATTCAACTGATCTTGACAAAATTTTAGATATGAATAAACATTATTAATACTCAATAAGTTCATCTGAATAATCTTTATAGTTTTATTGTTTAGGACAATTTTTAATAAAATATCGAATGCACCTTCTATAAGAAGAACATAAATCACATTTTGGAATTGTGTCTTTATAAAAATCATCCTTTTTTGTATTTAAAATAGTTGGCCAAATTATTTTCTTTTTAAGTATATGATTTCGAAGATTTTTTTCACCTTTATAACATTTTTTATATGTATCATATCTTTTTAATTTTTTATTTTCGCAAAAACATAAGTCATATTTCATACACCAATTACAAATTATAAAAACAGATTTCTTTCTATTTTCACAACGACAAACAGTATCCGAATACCAATTTGACATTTTGTTATTTTTCATTTATTAAAAATATCATATTTATAAATTATTTAATTAATACTAAAATTGAAATATTAATAATTGATATAATAATTTTTATTTATTAACAGTTTATTGAATAAAATCTTGTAAATTATAATAAATCAAAAATTATTAATTTTTTTTGTAAAAACAAGAATATCATTTAATTTTTCTTCATATGATTTTTCCTTCAAATTTCTAATTTCCAAATTCTTTATAATTTTATCTATTAATGAATTATAATTTCTTATCTTGACTTTTTCCTGATTCAATTGATTAGTCAAGATATTTATTTGATTTATCTCTATATTTTTTGATCTTTCTTCTTCTATTTTTTGGTATTTACAATAACTAACTTTGATGCATTTTGTGTTTTACATTGTTTAATATCATTATCAACTACATTGATTCTAGCATTGAAAAACTTATTAATATTAGTTCTATTATGAGGAGTATCTAAATGACCACAAGCTAAAGTAAAAAATACAGGATAAAGTTGATTGTATAATATATTTCTTAAACAAGTGCCTTTAATATATTGTTTAATGTGATTTCTTATATTTTCATGATGTGTATGTTTTTTTGTATGTAAAATAGTAGGTTCCAAGCCTTTCATATGTTTTTCAAGAATTTTATTAACTTGAATTTCAGATAAACTCATCTTTAAAATTTATTCAATGAAAAATAATAAATATTTATATAATTTTTTTCTTAATTCTTATCCTATAAATTATTAAATTAATAATAATAATAATAAAATTAAAATATTAATAATTTTATTTCTTAAAAATTATATTTTTCTTGAAAACAATAAAACAAAAATTCAAAAAAAAATTAAAATAATTCAAATTTTATCAATATATTAATATTTATTCTGATCTTTAGTTTTTGTTACAATATCTATTTTTTAATAAAAATTTTATTCTTACTATTAACTTTTATTTTAAATCCAAATACTGATATAATTGAATATTATTAATTATATTTTTATAAATTACATACATTTCTTTTTTCTTTACAATAAAAATGTCTGATCCAACAGCCAAAATTTTAAATCTTTACAAAAAAATCGAAAATCTCAAATCTGAAATTTCATATCTTCATAATGAAATTAATGATCTTAAATCAGAAATAATAGCAAGGGATTATTATTATTCTGAATTTCAAAAATTTCTTTCTAAAAAATTAAACTTTACAAAATATAATGAAATTTATTTTCAATTCAACAAAGAAATCTCCTAACAAGAAAAATTTAAAGATCTCAGATTTTCCTTAGATGAAACATTTACACAACAAAATTTATCTCAAGCATTAGTTATCTCTTATAATAATAATGAAATTATTGAACTTTCTGATACTGAAATTAAATTTCCTGAAATTATCGAAATTGATTCTTTAGATTTTTCTGATTCTGATAATAATATTAATATTAATGATGAATCTGATTAAAATATTTTTATCATATAAATTAATTTTATATTTTTCTTATTTATATATCGATTAATTTTTTTTTTTTTATTTATATTAATTTTTTTTTATATTTTATACTTTATATATATAATTTATCTATATCTATCTTAATATTTTAATCTCTTCTTTGATTGGTTAAATTGAGTGTAATCTTTAATTAATCAAAGAAAAAGTTAAAATATTAAATAACAAATAAAAAATATTTAAATAAACTAGATAAAAAAAATACTCTTTAAATTATTTTTATTTAATAAATAGAATATTTATATAGTAAAATATTACATTAATGATTTACAAAAAATATAATGAAATTTAAAACATTTGTTCAAAATACTTAAATTATTAAAAAATAAATTATTAAAATTTAAAAATAAAAAATATAATAAAATATAATAAAATATTGAATAAACTTAATGATTTCTTTTTCTTTTTGAACCATATGGATTTTCAACACATTTCTTAGTCCATTTACTAAAACTTGTAATCTCATCATTATATTTTTTCTTTATCTCGATTAAAACAAGTACTTGAGGTAAAAATATTGTTTTTTCTTTCTTGTCTAATTTTTCCCATTCATCATACATATATTTAATATCATTAGCAATTTTAATTTCTTTAATACTCATGATTGTAAATTATGAAATATCAATCAAAATTTCTTTATTTATAAAAAAAAGCTAAATTATTAATAAACATAATTAAAAATCATTTTTCAATAAACCAACAGAAAAATCTCTATCAAAATAATATTTTATAAATATATTTGAATTAAAATCACAAATAATACTACTTCCATAATGTCCTGTAATCAAATCCTTAAATAATTTTAAATAAAAATTACGATATAATTCAATATTATAAATATAAATATATATTATTTTTTCTATTCTTTTCTTAATAAATAAACTAAATTCTTTAGATTCTCTAAAACCAGCATTCAAATATAAATATACCTTTTCATTACTATTAATTAATAAATTCATAAAAATTCCAGTACCATGTATATCTTCAAATAAATATTGAAAGATTTGATATGCATTTATTAACTTTATCATCGAAGAATAACAAAACATGTTATCTCCTTTATCCCAAACTAATTTTTTAATTTTAACCTGATCATCACTAGATTCATATTCTCTTTCAGTAACATACATATCAATATAATTCTGATCATCTTTTGATAATTCTTTATATAGTAATTTCAAATAATGTTTAACTGTTTTTAAATTATGTTTCATATATTTATATAATATTGGTATAACCAATTTAGAATTCTCTTTATTTGTCATTATAAAGTTGAACAATGTAAATGATTCATCATATAAATGATCTTCACATATCATTATAAAAATTTCATTTGGTAATAATGATAAATTTAACATTTTGATAATTTCAAAAATATTTATTCAAACCCTTTAATAAATAACAATATATTATTAATAATTGATTATTAAATAGAAAAAAAATTATTATAATAAATAAATAAATTATAAATTTAAACATTTCTTTGATTCTTCATATTGTGACATTAATAAAAATTCAAAATAACTTGAATTTATATCAATTGAATCAAAATTAATAAGACTTTTTATTCTTAATAAAGTATTATAATTATGACACATGTATTTTTTTTGCTTTTCTATTTGAACCTTGTCTTCTAATCTTTCTAAAAACTCGTAATTCATAATAAAATCATTATTCACAATCAATAATATTCTTTCAACTTCTTTCTTTTTTTTTTTAACTTTATCAATTCGTTCATTATTTTTTTCAAACTCTAATCTCTTTTTCTCTAATATTTTTTCAAGATTTTCCTTTTTCTTATTATATTTTTCAATAACATATTTTCTTTTATTATGCATATATTCAATATAAAGATGATAACAATTACTTTCAGATTTAGGAATTATATAAGATGTGTTAATAATTTTTTTCATTTTTTCTTATTTTTCATTTTTTTTCATTTCTCATTATATTTATAAATAAATATATTAATAATTAATTACTAATTTCTTAATAAAAATTTTATTTAATACCTTGATAAATTATACATAAATATAAACATAAATAAAAAATCTTTCAACAACCAAATTTATCTTTTTAATTAACCACAATCTTTTCAAATTATCCTTAACTTTAATTTTAAATATTCATTTTTGCTTAAATATTCATAAAAAAAAATTATTAAATTGAATTATATAAATTCTTATTTTTTGTTTCAAAAAATGAATAAATATTTTTTTTATCACAAATTTAATTTTTGATTCTTGTTATTTTTACTAAAATCACAAGTATTATTAGAACTACATTTTTCTTTAATAGTATTAAAATACAAAATACCAAGGATTGCAAAAACAATTGCAGTGACAATAGGACCTATCTTTAATTAATTTTTCAACAAATTTATGAAAAATATTAGAATTGGAAATACCAAACTAAAACATATCTATACCTTATTTATATTATTTTGATATTAATAATATTCTCAATTTTTAATAATTAACAAATAACTTGTAGAAAATTCTTTATTCCAATGGAATTTCTTTTATTTTACGTAATAATTTTTATCTTTTTTTCTTTGTTTTCCATATTTTTTGATAAAACATAAATAGTTTAATTATTAAATCTTACTATTAATTATTAATTAAATTTTGATATTTAAAAAGATAAAAAAATACCTAAAAATCTCAAAGTAACAATCATGGCTTTGAATATTCAAAAAAATATTCAAGAACAAAAATCGAAAATTCTAGTTTTCTTATTTATTCTACTATTCATTTTTTTAACTTTAATCTCTCATTTTTTAAAATGGAATAAAATCCTTATCACTATCCTTTCTTTTATCATATTATCATTATTATTCTTTCTAATTGGTAGATTAACTGAAATTATCGAAGAATATTATAGTAGTATTATAACTGCTATATATGCTAATTTTATTGGAAACTTTTCTGAATTAGTTATCGGAATCGTTTGTGTATACAACAGAGAAATCGAAATCACAAAATTATCTTTGAATAGATCTATATTATCAAATTTATTATTCGTTTATGGAATTACTATTATCACTCAAAAATATAAACAACAATTTTTTCATAAAAAAATGCTAAATTAACTATATCACCAGTTTTTCTGATTACTTTATTATATGTTCTATTGATACTTTTTAATCTTCATTATTACAATTCTTTAATCAAAGGAGAAGATACAGTAACAATTTCAAGATGTTTTTCTATTATTTTTCTAATATTCTATATATTATTTAATCTTTTCAAACATAAAAAATATAAAACAATGATGTCATCTCTTTCTAAACAAGAAGTTTTATCACTCACACTAACAATAACAGAAGATTAAAAAAATGAAAAAGTAAATAAAAATTTATCTATCAATACCTCAATAACTAATGATAAAATTACAATTATCGAAACAGTAAAAGAAAATAATGAAATTGATATCGAAAGTCAAACTGAAATCAAAAAAATTATTATACTGGAATAATCACTATCTTCCTCTCTTTAATTACAATGGGTACATCTGTTTATATAACAGATATATTTGTCCGTTCATTATACCAACTCTTGGAAATGAATTCACTGAATTTATAATAATTCTATTAATTGGAAATCTCCCTGAACATATGATAGCTATTATTTCAGAACGTAATAATAAAATAGATCTTGTTATCAAAACAACTGCAGGATCTGTACTTCAAATTTCTTTTCTTATATCACCAATTCTTATAATTACTGGATGGATCATGAGTTTACCTGTTAGCATGTTATTCAGTCCGTTTATAGTATTTAGTTTAGTAATATCATCTCTTTTATTCAAAATATTCATAATAGACAGTGAATCAAATCTAATAGAAAGAATGGTATTTATTTTATGTTATATAGGAATAGCTATCATAGCTTTTAAGATTTAATATATTTTATTTTATTTTATTTGTTTATTTTTCTATAAATATCAATATGTATTAAGAATAAATTATGCCAAATAAATTATTTCAATTTTAAAAAATATAAATAAATCAATATAAATTTTAAGTATTTTTTTTTTTACTATAAAATGAAATCTATAAAAAAAATAACTCTTAAAAATAAAATCCATAATAAATCAATAAAAAATAATTTGTATGATTCTTTACAAAATATTTTTTATTGGGAGATTTATGATGATGAAACAATAATTAATACTGTAATGTCATACATTGAATCAAATCCAAAAAATTATGATGATAATTCAATACTTGTATATAATGAATTAAAATCTCAATTTGAGATTGAAGTTGAAGATGAAACTTTACATCATATGAAATAGAGAAATCCTAATATTAAAAATACTTATAATTTTGATTTAATATACAAAGAAGTAGAAGAAAAAAATTTGAATTATTCTTCAATAATCGCAAAATATAATACTGATTTAAAAATAAAAAGATATGAAAAATCTGAATCTTTCAAATTCATAGTTAATCGTGAAGCAATGAGATAATATAGAGATTTATACTTGAATAATTGATGTATTATTAAATATCATGTGATAAATTTATTTATAATAAATAAAATAAAAAATTAATTAATAATAAATAATCTAAAAAAATTTTGGATCAATACAAATAGCTGTCTATATCTATCTAATTCTAATCTTATATTATTCATCTCCCTTTCCATTTCATTTACTCATTTTTCTAAAACTTTAGTTTTATCACAATTTATACATAAATTATTTTTTACTCTATTAATAAATGAAAAACATTCTTTACAAATAGTAATATTTTTCAATGAACCAAATCTTTTATATTCCTTATTTATCATTTCAATAATATCAATATTATCATCAAATGTATAATTATTAATAATCAATTTTCTTATTCTTTTGACTTCTATTATTTCATCTAGTGGTATTTCAGCAGATTTACCTTTATCTTTTTTAATAGAACTTTCACTTTCTTCATAATCATTTTCATCCCATTTATCTATTGTACCTTGAGAATTCTATGTATTATTTAATTGTGTTTCTAATGCTTCTTCAAATAATATATCTAATTCTCTTTTCATTATCATTATAGTTCTATATATCGTACTCTTATTCATCTGATAATAAGACATTGCTCTTCTAGTCAATTCTGTTCAATGATCTATATGAGTCTATATCTCTTTATTTGGATCCTTAATCTCGTGATATACTTTATATGCTACTTGATGATGTATATCACAAAAATCTCCTTCTTCTTCTAAAAAATTTCCTCGTTTATATTCTTTATTATAAATAACACATCTAACAAGATTTCTTCTATATTTATCACTTTGTAAATATGTAATTTTTCTATAATCATTTTCAGGTAATCTTTCACAAAATACTTCATAACAACTTAAATATTTATATCCATCTTTTAATTGATGATAATAAAAAATTTTCTTACAAGTACAACAATGATATTTTCTTTTCTGAGATGTTTCTGGTTTAATTAATAATAATTCTCTATATTTTTCCTGAATCTCATTATATAAACATCTACATCCTAATTTTTTATTTATATCATATCTTCCAAAAATATAATTTTTCTCGAAAAGATCTTTATATTCACAATCTTTCAATATATAATTTTCTTCACAAACTCGACATAGTGAAGTATAATCTCTACATTCATATTTTTCATTTATTTAAAAAAATTTATAATTTTTTTTACATATGCAACAATGATATCCTTAATTCTTTCGTAATCCTAACTCTGAAAATTTTTCTTGAAGTTTTTTAGAAACACATCCACAATTTAATCTATTAAATCTATCTGTTTTTCCAAAAATATAATTTTTCTCAAAACGATCTCCATATCTACAATCACATAATACATGATTTTTTCTATTACTGACTTGACATGGTAATTTTGGATAATGGATATCTATATGTCCATTCTTTCTGCATGAATTACAAATTGTTTTATTACAAAAAATTGTAATATGATCTGTCTGTTCTTTACATTTATTACAGTAAGACATTTTATTTATTTATTCATAAAATAAAAAAATATGTCTTTATATATGTTTATTTAATTATTAATCATTTATATATTAATAATTTATTTTTAATAATTTATTTTGGTAATATTTTTTTCAATACATTACTACATTTAATAATTTGTTTTACATCCTTATCAGAAATTCTATCAAATGAAAAATTCATTTCTACAATACTCTTGAATGGATTTACACTCAAGACTATATTATTTATTTTTCTTAGTTTGTTTTTATCTTGATTTATTTGATAAATTAATATCTGATTCTTTATGTCTCTATCTTTGTTTGAATAAATCAATCTTCGATCCTTTTTCTTTTTATTCAGTTTATTTTCTTTCTGATCTGAATCAAAAAACTGAATTTACTTCTTCTGTTTCATTATCATCTTGATTTAAACCTATATTTTCATTCTTATATAGCTTCTTTGGTACTTTAATATTTTCATATTCACTTGTTTCTCTTTCTTCTTGATCTGATTCAAAAATTATTTCACTATCCTCTTCTTTTTCATTTAATTCATTTTCTTGATTTATTTCTAAAATTATTTTTTCTTTTTTATTTAATCTTGGTTTTTCTTTACTAAATTTAATTGTTAATTGATTTTTATCTTTATTCAATAACAATATTTCTTGATAGATATAATACGTAAAATTATAGAGTATTTTTTCTATTTTATAATCTATATTTTCTTTCATTGATAAATCTTTGATGATACTAATAATATTATATTTTGCGTTATTGAAATTTTTCTCTCTATCTTTTTGATCATCAAAATTATTAATAATTTCAATAAAATCTGTAAAACTCTTTTTTAATTAATCTAATCTTTATTTTTCTATTTTAAATTCAACAGATATTTGATTAATAAAATTATTAATTATCTCTTTCTTTTTTTTCTCTGATAATTCATATATTGTCTGAGATTTAATTTGTAAATATTTATTCAATTCTCGTCTCAACACTACTTCTAAAATCTGACCTTCTATATTTAATTTACAAATTCCTCTAACATTTTTAAAAATTTCTTTAAAAATAGAATTTGTAAACGTATGAAATATTGACTCAATTTGATAATTAATATTTTTATTATTTGTTGATATATTTAATTTATCTGATTTATTATTTTTTATAATATCAGCTTCTTCAAATTGTTTCAAATTATTAAATAATATTACAAATTTCTTAAATCCATCTTTAATTTCTTGCTGATCTTTTTTCTCTAATTCATATTCACTAATCAATTTCTTGATATTTTTATTAATAATTTGATTTATTTTATCTTTTGGTTTTTTATCCATGTTGATTTTTTAACACAACAAAAAAAAAATACTAATATTTATATAAAATTTCAAATAAAAAAAATCACACTAATAAAAAATTCACATGTTAATTTACTCCATAATCAACAAATCTATAGCACACTCTCTCCGTCGATCATTTGGACCATTTCCGGAGCAGAAGAAAAAATTAAGAAAACTCAAAATACTCATTAGATAACAACACTTGAGCCATTAAGAAAAAGAAAGGAGAACAAAGAAATACATATAACAAGATAGAAGAATAGAAAAATTTCAGTTGAAAAGAAGTATCAGAACAATTTTAAAATAAAAATCCTAAAAACCGTCTCTTTTTTTTTGAAAAACTGGGGGATTTGAAAATACTCTGTACCGTAGATCAGTTCACGTTACACAATCACAGGAAAATAAGGTAAACAAACAAATGCGACTTTGAAAATTATAGTCACGTGCTAAACTTTAAAAAAGAAATACGCGCGACCAAAACCGGAAGAATCATTGGCAATTAGGACAAACCCTTGGGAAATTTGGAAAAAAGCGAAAGTCACTACGAGATATATTATATATAAGTCAAGTCAAGAGAAGAATAGGCATATATAAAAACCAAAGAAGTTCAAGTTAACTAGAGAAAATGGAAGAGAACCTGCTAGTTAAAGCCAATAAATTAGTTAGCCTTAAATCATTACTTAAAGAAGAAGATCCTGAAAAATTAACAAAGGTCATAGAAAGAATAGAAAGAAACCAAGAGAAGATTGATGATTACATAGCAAGGATCACAGGTGTCAGCAAAAAAATTATTAAAACAACTAGAAGTTGGCATAAGATTTTGAAAAAAATAATCATCGAAGAAGGAAGGGAGATACTAGAAATAGCACTTAGCGAGCTAGAACAAGAACTTTTGATAGCGGAAGAGCAAAGAAGAAGAGAAGCAGAACATAATAGCAGAGAAAAGAGGATAGTACAAGAAAAGAAATACAAAGAAGAAATGAAAGAAAAAGAAGAATATGACCAAATAGTAAGGGCTAGGCTAGACCGCAAGCAAAAAGAGCTAGTAATAGTTAAAGAAAAAGAGGAAGAAGAAGAAATGGTCTGCAATCACGAATCTCTCATCACTAAGGAAGTTAAAAGGATCAAAGAAAAGGAGGCCAACAAAGGAAAAACAGCAATAGAAATCCTTTTTCAAGATAATCAACCAATAGAGTTCCCAAGGATCACTATAGAAGAAACTACGAGTAGTAATACGAATGCAGTAATACAAACATACCAAGAAGCAGAAGCAATACCTGAAGCAGAAATGGAAGTTTACATTTCACAAGTAGAAGACAAAATCGCAGAAGATAAAGCAGACCTTAACCTAGAGAAACTCCGAGCAGAGACAAGTAATATAAAAGAAATAAAGAGAGAACAAATAGAACAAGAAGTATTAGGATATGAAGAACTTTATAGGAATTCTCTTGAAGATAGTCTTTGGGCCCCCAATGAGAATACATGCGAAGAACCAGGAGAGTATAAGGCAAAAATAGCATCAATTTCACTCCCAGGCAAGTCTAAAGAAGAAAGAATCAAGTTCGTTGAAGGAACTCTCTACAGAAGCAAACATATAAGCAAAATTGAAGAGTGCTTTACAAATGGGAACTCATGGGTCGTCATTAGTTTTGACTGCTATAAGGGAGTTAAAATCTTAAAAGAAAGGCTAAAGAAAAAAGCAAATGAGTGGTACAATATCCTGTTTGAAGACAACGAGCCAGCACAGAAGGTATTAGGAAGCAGAAGCGATAACAGAAATAGTAGAAAATCCACTAAAGAGAAAATAAAAAAGGTACCAATTCAAGACATAGCGAATGATGAAGAAGATGATAAAGCCAAAAGAGAGAAACAAGCCCAAAAAGAGCTAGAAGAAGTTTTCAACCGCAGAAGAGAGAGATCTGTACAAGATAACAAAAAAAGAACACCCTCTGAAGAAAGAAAGAATTCTAATAGCAGTCAACAATCAGAAACAAAAGCAACGAATAATACCAGAAATGTAATAACAGTTTGGGATCTCCCAAGTTATGCAAAAAGATCACAAATTTTCGAAAACATACGATACTTGGGAAGAGTTAATCATATCGAAATGATTAAAGAAACATATGGCAAAACAAGAGCAGTAATCGATTTCATACCAGGCACTTCGGCTGCAGAAGAACTAGAAAACTTATGGTGTATACCATTTGGAGAGAACTGCTTAGTAAGGGTTTCTACAGGAACAAGCAATAGCAATAAACTTAAAGAACGTAATAAGTATACCAGAAGATTACTCGATCTACCAGAAGATACAAATGAGATACTCTTAATGAGACAAGTCAAACGAACTGGCGCTAAAGCTCTGCATATATTCAAAAACACTAATGACAACAACAGAAGAAGTGCAACGGTATACTTTGAAAACAAAGAAGATATGATAAACTGTTCAAGATTTGCAGTTTATTATTATAATAA